GCGCGGCCGTCGGCAAGTGGTTCGACAAGCGGTGCAGAGAGCAGCTGCCCTACGTCTGCCAGTTCATGATCGTGTAGCGGCGGGGGGGGTCTCCCCCTGCAACCCCTTCCCCTTGGCAGCAGGATTATAAAGCTATAGGTACGTGTACGTGTACTGTACGTATGCACGCACGCGCGCACATGTTCAAGTAGAGTCACTCTGCAAAGAGCGTCATCACGGCTCGGTGTCGGGTTAGAGAGTGTTAGAGCATTTCGTTTGGCCTCATCCAGCCCCGTTAGCAGCTGCATCGTCCACTTAGGCACAATTTAGAGATATATATTGTTTTTTTCACCGGGAATTTATCAGGACGGCTCGGTTGTTTCGGCAAAGAACCAGTGCAGCAGTCCAGCCTGGCCAACAGCTGCCTCGGCTGCCCGGGGCTGTCGCTCTGCAATGTCCTTTCCCATCTTGCTGAGCTTTGTTGGGACACCAGCATAGCTTGGTCCTGCTTTCTTCTCCTGTTTTGATTCCCCATAAGCCCTGGCAGTGATCTGTGGGAGCCCCTTGTTCCCCACAGTGCCCCGATTCAGGCTCCCGGGGATCGAGGTCCTGTCTCGACGAGCAGAGGGAGCTACTCCTGCTTTGCACTGGGAGATACAATTGGCCTTATCGGCTGGTCAACGGGGTTTCTGAGTAGACCAGTTAGGCGCATGAATGAATTGGCAAGTAACGGGCATGGGTTGACTTACTGAGAAGGCGAGTGTCCTTTCCAGAAGGATTCCCCGCTTTCTTGGTCCTTTTCTCATCCGCCAGAAGGCAGTTTCATGGATTTCAGTGGGAGAGCGAGACGGTTTATTTGTGCTCCAGCATCATGGGCGAAGCAGTGGTGACTTGTAGCACAGTCAGTCGATTATATTCCTGGAAATAGAAGAGGAAAGTATTGCACAAATAACAGAAATGTAATGCTATTAGAGACTATGCTGCCATATAAAAAACAACCGTGTATTGAAAACGAAGCCCAGAACAACACACTTGAGCAGCTTTAGGAATCACCTGACCTGTTTAAGTGATGGAAACCCAGCTGAAATAGTCCAGTCTTTCTTGGTCCAGGCACAGTTCTCAGCAAACATAAATCCGCTGAGGACTGTCTGTGCCAATGAAGTCCTGCCCAGCTGCAGGTTTGGCCTCAGTAATTTTTTGCTGAGAAAAGGGTTAAAGAAAAAAACATAAATTGAAATAAAGCAACGATGGGAAAGAAGTGCAGGCCACCCCAACAGCTTAATGAGGCTTTGCTGGCTGTTGGCTGAAAGGTATCAGCGGTTCTTTGTGGTTCAGAGCTTGGTAGCTCGGGTCCCGTCCCCTGCGCTGCCAGGTCGGGCTGTCAAGACACGATGCTGTTGGGGAGCCCACGGGAGAGGCATCGCCTAAAAACAGCACCGTGATGGGGCTTCCCAGATGCCGAGTGGGAGCCAAGCTGGAGGGATGGAAACACACACACAAATGCAGAGGGCACACTTCCGAGGCCGTCACTATTGCAAAATTCTCTGCTGTTCAAATGACTATAAAATAAAAATATATATATAGCTTGCTGAAGGAATGTGGTTGGAGTGCTTTCCTCTCCTTGCGTCCCTCTTCAGAGCAGCTCCAGGGATCTGCCAGAAGGTCGGAGATATCAAAGGCAGAGGGGAAAAGCAGAAAGCGAGAGCCTCCCGCCCTGTGGCATGGTTTACAGGATTTGCCCCCACCCCGTTATCCCGGTTACATGCCATACGCGGGATACAGGCAGGGAATCCTTTTGTAGGAAAATGAGATTTCCTTCCTCCCCTTCCCTTGCTGCTGGGAAATTTCAGTCTGAAATAGGAGCCAACCCAGAAGAAAGGTCCTTCCCTCACCCCCCTTTGGCAGCGGGAGCGGTGCCGGGGAGGTGGCACCTCGGGTCCCAGCCTGGAGCCAGCTCTTCCCAGGCTGCCTCCCACCTCCTCCGCAACGAGCAGAGCTGCAGGGCACTGGGCATCCCTCTCCTTCCCACTGAGCTGGTGACGACTTCTCCCTCCTCCTCCTCCTCCGCATCCTTCGGAGGAGAGAAGCCCGTACATGGAGAAGCCCGTGCTTCACACCAGCCTGGGAGGTTTCAGCTGCTGCAGACTTGCACGTGAAATTAGGTCTCTTTTGCACAAGAGGACAGCCCTTTGCCGAGCTTTACTCTGGACCCTGATCCTGAAGGTTTCCAAGGTTCTTTGCTGTAGGGCGTGGTTACAGCCCAGAAGCCAGCTTGTCTCAATAAAACCCCTCTAGTTCCCCTGGCAGACGATCCCTTCATGTTTTGAGACAGATACACATGAATGCAAAGCAGCAAAGCTGGAAGCGTTGCTGGCTTTGATCCCGAATGGTCATAAACCACAAGGTCTTAAAACACAAATGTGTGGTCAGAGAAATGAACAGAGGGCTTTTACGGGAGCCCAGGAACTAAAGAGGGGCGATGGGAAAGCCACCGGACCCCGGCGATGCTAAGCTTCGGGTAAGATGTGGGTGCTGCAGCCAGACCATCTCTGCGTGGGGCGCGAATCTGCGAAACAGCCGTGGAGAGGGATGCCAAAGGTTATTCCCAGAGAGGACATTAAAGAGTCAATCTGTCAAAATCTAGAGAATAACAAGTTGCTCTCAGCAGATTTCTTGCTCGTATCTCTCTTGCTCTCTGTTTTCACTTAGCTACGCTCCTGCCAGCACCATTCTTCATAGACGTTTTGCTATTCCGAAGCCGGGAGGAGCACAGGGAAGGGTGGTTTTGCTCCTGCTGTAGTTGTCGGATCCAGGATGCCAAAACTGACCTTGCAGATCCAGGGTTGCATTTATGAGTTTAATATTATTCTACATGCTGCTTCCTTCTGTACATTATGAACTACAAATTTTCTTTCAAAAGCCAAAGAAAAAGAAATTCTAGAAGATTCCTCATCCTTGCTTACCACAGCACTCTTTTGTTTGTGGCCAACTAGGCGTTTTTGTGCTGACAGCGAATGCCGGGGTGGAGGGGTTGAAGGGGGGACGCTGGCTGCCTCGGCTCCCGAGGGCCCCGATGATGGGACCTGCCCGGAGCAGATGTCGTCCATCTGCTGGGGGCTGGGACAAGCATCGCTTTTTGATCTTCCCTTAAATCTTTTTGGCACTCAAACCAGAGAGAAACATCTGCTGCCCACAAAGTGCAGCGTCAACCGAAGGCACACGGACTAATGGAAAGAAACCTCAGCTCTTCCCCAAGAAAAAGAAACATGGAAGTCATCGTGTCTGAACCAGCGTGTTGCGATGCCTGCGATCTCAAACCAACCTTGTGTGATTAACACAGGAGATGTTGTGCAACCCCCAGGATGCACCTCAAAAGGGAAGGAGCATCTCCTTCCCTGCGCCTTGTTATTCCTATGGGCTCTGCACTTCGAGCCCGCTCCTACGTAAGCACTGAACTCCACTTCACCACCTCACCTCTCTCAGTCTCTCCTTTTGCAAATAAAATAATAAAAAACTAAATTAAAGTTACGTTTCTCCAGCTCAGAAGCCACCACAGGCGGGGAAGAATCACAGATCTGTGAGGATCAGCAAACGAGGGTAAGCCAAAAGACTGGTGGAATTACCCATGCCTGAAGTCTTAAGCCATATTTCGTCCAGGAGTATTACGGACATTGCAGTTATGGACTTCAGGTCTGAATCCTGCACAAGGAAAGAGAACACACACACAAGGTAGGAGGTATTAAGGCTGTAAATCCCTGGACCTTAAAAAAAAAAATAAAATCAGGAAAATGTGAAAATTAAGCTCACTTGCAAACCTTGATTGAACACCCTTCTTCCATTATATCATCACGCATTAGCTGTACCAGCAATTCCATAGCAGGGTTAGTACACCTACTGCAAGCATAACAGCAGCAGTAACCGCAGCAAATGCTATTATTACAGCAGCAGCTTTGCAGAAAAGGATGAAATTTAAGCTCCCAGGCACAAACGTACACTCGTGCTCTGCAGGACAGGCTTCTCCTCCCTCCTCTTCCCCGCCGTGACCTAGATGGGACCAGTTTCTTACCTGAAACCCAAAAGGTGGGCTCCAGCTCTCAGCCCACCCTAGTTAGGGTCCCCTATCAATGTTGACAAAGGTAGTATCTCATGTTCCTACTGCCGTATAAAGTTATCTAAAGGTATTCTGCCAGCAAAGGTTAGTGCAGAATAGTGATTTAACTAAATACCGCGGCTAGGAGCGGAGACTCAATAGCCAGAGGGGTACTAACCGCAGCGAACACCACCAAAAGCAACCCCTGGCTGGGGAACGCCGAGGGACGGCACACGCGGTCCTCGCCACCCCCAAAAGCCCAGCACAGCCTGCCTACCCTCTGCATCTCCAGGACAGCGACAGGGAAGAGAGCAGGTGGTGATTTTTCCAGGAACAGAGAAAGCTTCATTCACAGCTCCTGCCACAGCAAACGCGTCCACATCCTCACAATGATGCAAAGTTTGGCATAGATTAACTGTTAACAACAAGAAATACCAGAATGAGGTGAAATTACCCAAAAGGGAAACATACAGGACCTTAACGAATAAAGTTAAAACTGATATCTGAGCTTTCAGGAGCAAAGGGATGCATTATTCCCATCATCTTTTTCTACTTCAAGGTAGCAGGAAAGGGAACAGCTCCTCCGTTTTGTTCCTTGGTGACAGAAAGCCACGGAGTCATCGCCATTGCATCACCTAAAGCAATGCGTGAATTGGGGGAGATATTTTTTACTATGGTAAATGTTAGTGAAGCAATTACAGACTTTGTAAAGCATATCTTGGAAAGAGGTTACTGATAGCAACATGATTCATTGCACGGCTTGTGGACCTGGCTTTTTGTTCTGCACACTTCCATCTAATTTGGTGTCTAATTAGGTATTACTCATACAAGAGGTCATTCATGTCAAGAGAAGCCATCGTTTCCAGAATAATTTGAGTTTTTCCTACATATATTAATGTTTTCCCAAGTATTTCCCCAGCCATTTAAGAGATAAAGAACTACCTCAAGTAGTGTCACTTCATTCAACCCTGAAGCAGCTTTGTGGCAGCCAAGCCTGGGGACCTTGCT